CTCTCCTTCCTCTAGGGTAAGGAACAGAAGATATCTCCTTTATCTCTCCCAGTGCTTTGTCAAACCATAAACCAGTCTCAGGTCAGCAAAATTCAGAGCTGCAGCAAGAAGCCAGGAAAACAAAAGGGAGAGAGATAAGAAGTTGGATGAAAGCACTGCAGGAAAGACTTTGAAGTCTTCAGCAGCTCCTGTAGAGAGTCACTGAGAACAACAGTTCCCAGCTGCACGTGACCCCAGGTACTTGGAAGGAAGCTTTGAGGATGGCACTTGGGTTTTGTAGCCTCCTCCTCTCTTGCTGACACACACAGGAGGCAGGTTGGGAAGAGGTGGCCTGGGAAAGACAATCACAGGCAAGGGAGGTGCAGGAGGAGCTCGTTGGCTTGCCCAGAAAACACAAGAAAGGACCCAATGCAGGTGCTCATTAGGAGGAGAGCAGGAGGCTTGACCAGGGATGGAGGAGGCTGTGGAGAAAGGGAGGTTCCTCCTCTGCTGTGGCTGGGGTACAGGCCCAGCATCAGGCTCCAGCACCACCACAACTCCTGTTTACAGCTGCTTTGGCACAGCAGCCACTCAGCCTGCCAGGAGAAATGCTGGGAACAGAGCTCATTCCAGAGAGAGCACCAGGGCAAACCAAGCCCAGGGTGATGCAAGGGCTCCCTCCCTCCTTCCCTCCCTCCCTCCCACCCCAGTCCTGCTCCACGGGAGGCAAACCTCCTGCTCTGCACCCAGAGGCCTCCAACTTCTAGTGCCTCTGCTTCTGTGGCACCTCCTGGTTGTCACCTTCACCTCTCACCTTGACAGATGAGACCCCCCCCCCCAAGTGGAACGCTGTCCAAGGACTAAGAGACAGGATTTTGGGGAGTGACTGAAGCAGCCGGGGAGATGTAGCTGGGAAATGCCATCTAGAGGCCACCCCGTGCTTCTGCTGGGTGTGTTCATCACCACAGTGCCTGCTCCTTCACTTCAGCACGACCCTCTCCTCACACCACCTCTCTGGGAGGGTGTCATCCCTACCCCGAAGAGGAGGAGCTCAAGTTCTCTGCTGTAGCACAGAATGGTTTGGGTGGGAAGGGATCTTTCAAAGTCATCCAGTCCAACCCCCCTGCAGGGACAGGGACATCTGCAGCTAGAGCAGGGTGCTCAGAGCTCCATCCAACCTCCCCTGGGATGGGGCAGCAACCAATTCCCTGGGTTGAAGAAGAATTTCCTCCTTCTCTAGTCTCAATTTCCCTCTTTTAGTTTAAACCCATCCCCTCTTGTCCTGTCCCAACAGGCTCTGCTCAAAAGTCTGTCCCCAGCTTTCTGACAAAGCCCCTTGAAGTTCTCAGAGGCCACCAGAAGGTCTCCCTGGACCCTCTTCTTCTGCAGGCTGACCAAGCCCAACTCTCAGCTTGGCCTCCCAGCCTTTGGATCACTGTTGTGGCCTCCTCCAGCCCCTCTCCAGCAGGAAGCCCCCCAAGGAGCAGCACCTTCCTCTGTGCAGCTGAACCAGGACATGCTGGCCCACAGCACTTCTGGCTCCAGCCTGCACCCTGCAGGGACCTCCACAGCACAGAGCAGAGGTGGCTCCCAGCTGCCCAGCTCCCCCAAAGGCCACTCTTTCAGGAGTTGAGCTTCAGCTGACTACCTCACAAAAACCAGGCCCAGCTTTATGGGACAGGGCAGGGAACAAAACATCCACCAGCCCTTCAAGCAGGTGAGGTGCCAGGGCTCTTACAAAACCTTGGGAACAGAGCCATGGCTCTCAGCCAGGCATGGTTTCACCAGGAGTGTCCTTCATACAGCTCAATTTATTGATTTTTTCCTATAGATGGGACACTGGGGGACAGGCAGAAACAGGGAGGGAAGAGAGGTCTCTCCATTGACACTGGATTTGTGCTGGCATGTGGATGCTCCACAGAGCTCAGGCCTTGGAAAGCAGCATAAAATAAAAAAAATATAAAAAAAATAAAGGCTGTTGTGGGTTGAGGCTGAGCTGGCCATGAGATGTACCCTTAAACAGAGCACTGGGGCTAGTTCAGCTCAAACCAGCCAAAAAAACTCCATGGAAAACTGCCTAGAAACTGGGAAAAGTTCAGATAAAACTAATTCCAGCAGCACAGGGAGCTCCCAGAGGAGGTTAAGGCTCCCTGAGTGAGGCACTTCCCATACTGCTGAGACACCAAAACTCCTGGGGAGCCAAGAACTGCCACAGAGGGAAGTTCCAACTCCAACTTCAACCCTTCATTTAAAAACAAAACACGACTGAAGCCCTTAAATTATAGAGTAAAGGCCACTTCATATAAATGCCAAGCTAAAAAGATGGATGAACACAGTATTGCAACAACCACCTCGTGGAAAAGGGTTTTTTTTATATGTACTAAGAGGTCAAAGCAAGAAAAAAAACCCCATTTCCAGCAATACCATGGCAGAGAAGAGGAGGGTTTTTGCAGCAGGATCTCCCAGCCCAGGTCATTCTTGAGGAAAGGGTGTGCTGGAAGTAAAATAGGACTGACAAAGAGGCACAGCCAAGCTCTGTCCCTTCACAAAGGGGATGATTCAAGTCCAAGATCCTCAGGAGGGGATCTGCCCTTTCAGAGATGGAGCACAGAGTTAGGAAGTGCTCTCTTCTTGATTTATTTGGGGTTAATTTTGAAGAGGAATAAGCTCCTGCCCAAGCAAAGGCACGTGCTTCCTTACCAACTTCTCCCAGGTTCTCTTCTGAGGCCTCAGCCAAAAGCCAAGTGACCCAGCAGTCACAGAGGGAATCACAAAATGGGCTTCAGAGATTTAAGAGGTGGTGGCAGAACTTTCTGTGCCACAAGCCTCTTTCATTGCTGCTCTTCAGAGGAGAAACCAAACAACCCAGAGGAACCAGCCCTGAGGAGAGTTCCAGGAGGGAGCCCAGAGCTCTGAGGAGAGGTGGCTGCTATCACCAGGGCAACAAAACAGAGGGTGAGGGTGGAGAGATGCCCTGAAGGAATGCTGAGGGGCAGGGCTGGGGCTGGGGAGGGCACAACAAGGGTGTTTAGTCACAGTCTGTAGGGTTCAGCCGCTGGTTCAAAAC